TTTCTGGAAAACATAATTCTAATTCTAAGGCTTAGCACTTCACATTTGTCAAGTCTTGTTTTGCCATCTGTGTTCCAAACAACAAGTCTCCTAAACCAGAATTAAGTCTTCTTCAAGTTCCAGGTACCTCCTGTTTTTCCCCAATAAACATCCTCTGTTTTGTACTCAAATCCTTTTTACTGTTTCCAGCATTTGATCTGATCTTGTTACCGAGTTTGGAAACCCGATTGTTTTTTGGTAAGAGAATCTTAAAGAAAACTTTTAATAAAGTTAAACTCTGTCTTTCTTTGCTAATTACGCTTTTGAAAAAGGTTGATTACAGTAGATTTTGGGTCCACCCATTACTAATTAATCCATACTTCTGTCTTCTTTTTAAATAATACAAACATGGATCATCACACTTCATAGCATGGGATGTGAAGCAGGCCAAAGTCAGAGTCTCTGTGGAATGTGAGAAGCCGCTGCAATTCGAAAGACGTGTTCAATTCTCATCCACAGGAGATGAAGTTGTGGTATCTTTCAAGTATGACAAGCTCCAGAAATGGTGCTTCATCTGTCACAGAATGTCTCATGATGGTAAGCGATGGAAACGAAGAATAAGAGAGATTTTCTACAAAATCTCCAAGTTGAGTTTGGTTATGATTTTCTTTCCGGGTATTATGTTCTTGATGGAAACGAAGAATAAGAGAGATTTTCTACAAAATCTCCAAGTTGAGTTTGGTTATGATTTTCTTTTTACTGTTGAGCTTAATGGCCTAAGTGGTGGTTTAGCCCTTTTTGCTTTATCTGAATTTAATCTTCAAGTTTTATCTTCCAATAATAGAGTCATTGATGTATCTGTAACAATTGATGGCAATAAAATTTTCATCTCTTTTGTTTATGGAGACCCTGTCATCAATCAAAGACAATATGTGTGGGAGCAACTAGCTAGAATAAGTATCTCACGCTCTGATGTGTGTTTCATGGTCGGTGATTTTAATGAAATTAATGGCAACCATGAGATATTGGGTGGTGTTATCTGGAGTGAAAGTTCCTTCCTGGACTTTCGACTTATGCAGCAAAATTGTGGCATGATCGAATTTCCATATTCAGGAGACTGCTTATCCTGGGTAGGAAGAAGACACAATTATCTTATTCGGGGCCGTCTGGATCGCGCAATGCGAAATTCGGAATGGTTCAGTCTATACTCAATCTCTACATCCCAATATCTCCAGTTCATGGGCTCAGATCATCGACCTATTATCACCCACCTTTCTAACTGGAAGGGAAAAGGATGGAAAAAGTTCCAGTTTGATAAACGATGGACTTCCAAAAATGGATTTGAAAATACAGTTCGTGAAGGATGGACTGATAATGGAGATAGAGATCTCTCTCTACATGATCGAATCAAGAAGTGTCGATCGACTATTGCCTCTTGGTGTAGAGAAGAAAACTACAATACCCAAAAGATCCTAAATGAACTTCAAGACAAATTGGATAAAGGCCAAGTGGTTCAGTCCTTATCGGCAGCTGAAGTTTCCTTAATACAAAACCAAATGCAAAAAGCGTATGAAGAAGAAGAAGGTTTTTGGCAACAAAAAAGCAGAAATCTTTGGCATAAAAAAGGTGAACGGAACACAAAATTCTATCATGCTACAACCAAACACCGACGAGTGCGGAACCATATCTGGGGTTTGAACGACAATAGAGGTGTGTGGTGCGAAAATGAGGGAAGAGTTAAATCAATTGTCGTAGAATACTTTAGCGAACTATTCTCATCATCTTCACCCAATGATATTGAAGTATCATCAAACCAGTTGGAAAACACTATCTCTCCAGAAATGAATGAGAGTTTATGCAAAGAGATATCTCCCGCGGAAATTAAAAAAACGGTTTTCTCCATCCACCCAGAAAAAGCTCCAGGACCAGATGGAATGACAGCACTATTTTATCAAAAATACTGGAACACCATTGGCCCCCAGGTGATAGAGATGTTCCAGGGTTTCCTTAACTCCGACTCTTTCGATCCACAATTAAACGAGACAAATCTCTGTCTAATACCTAAAACGGAGCGGCCAAGAGATATGGCTAATTTTCGTCCCATTAGCTTATGTAATGTCTGCTATAAAATCATATCTAAGGTGTTATGCCAAAGATTGAGACGTTACCTGCCAACAATTATCTTGGAAACCCAATCTGCTTTTGTGGCAGACCGCGCGATTTCAGATAATATACTTCTAGCTCAAGAAGCCTTCCATGCTCTGAGGACTAATAACAAATGTAAGAATGAGTTCATGGCAATTAAAACAAACATGAGAAAAGCTTATGATAAAGTGGAATGGGATTTCTTAGAAGCTATGATGAGAAAAATGGGCTTAAGGGAAAAATGGACTCAATGGATAAGGAGATGTGTACGATCAGTATCATATAACGTTCTTATAAACGGTAACCCTACTTGCCATATTACCCCAACGAGGGTTCTTCGCCAGGGAGATCCATTGTTCCCATACCTATTCATCCTCTGCACAGAAGTGCTTATAGCAAATATCCGGAAGGCCGAAAATTCGGGACAAATCACGGGTCTCAAGGTGGCGCAAGCAAACCCTCCGATATCTCATTTGCTATTCGCAGATGACAGTATTTTTTCTGCAAAGCAAGCCCAGAGCAATGTAATAGTCTACTCAACGGCCTTGATGAGTACGGGAAAGCTTCTGGACATATAATTAATTTTAATAAATCAGCCATCACATTCAGGAAGAAAGTACTGCCAGAAAATATGTAAAATCTGAAGAATATACTAGGAATCACTACCGTAGGTGACAATGGCAAATACCTAGGCATCCCGGAGCAACTACAAGGCTCAAAAATCCATGCCTTCAACTATGTGCGAGACAATACGCACAAAAAGTTCAATGGATGGACAACGAAATAGCTTTCCGAAGCAGGAAAAGAGATAATGATCAAATCTGTTGCATCAGCAATTCTGACATTCTCAATGTCGTGTTATTTGTTCCCTAAAGGGTTATGCAAATAAATATCCGGTGCAGTATCCAATTTTTGGTGGAGCTCCAACTCTAATTCAAAAGGTATGCACTGGATTGCATGGGATAAACTATGCCTTCCCAAAAAAGAGGGAGGGTTGGGATTCCTCTCGCTCGAAGAATTTAACATAGCCTTATTGGCTAAACAACTTTGGCGGTTGGAACAAAACCTTAACTCCTTGTTTGAAAGAGTGTTTAAAGGAAGGTACTTTAGGAATTCACATCCCTTCAAAGCACCAAAACAGTCAAGACCTTCCTATGGATAGAGAAGCATTATGGCAGCAAAATATTTAGTTAATGAAGGTCTTCGACGTACAATAGGAATAGGTGAACACACATTGGTGTGGGAAGAACGGTGGCTACCAGATGAGATTGCTCGTCCACCTATGGTAACCCAGAGTTTTGATCCAAATCTCCGAGTAGTGGACCTTATTAATCCGGTGAACAAGGATTGGGATATCACTAAGCTCAGGAACTTTCTACACCCCAACGATATACCGCTGGTACATAGTCTACATCTCAGCAGAAATCCTAAACCAGATGGATATTTCTAGAATTTAACTACATCGGGAATATACACGGTCAAGTCAGGCTATAGATTAGCGAGATCAAAACCAGGGAGATATACTGAATTTTTGAATCAATTCCCATCCCTTAATCCTATAAAGGAAAGAGTATGGCAAGTCAAAACTGGAAATAAGCTTAACCATTTTCTATGGCAAGCTCTCTCTGAATCGATTGCGGTCAATGAACGCCTCTTCAAGAGACACATTGGGAACGACCCCAGTTTCCCAAGAAGTGGTTACGAGGAGGAAACAATCAACCACATGATTCTCACGTGTCCTCCAGCTAGGAAATGCTGGGCTCTTTCAACAATCCCATCGAACCCCGAGGTTTTCCCCTCACAAAATCTGTACACAAATATGGACTATCTACTCTCGAAAGCCAATAATGGTAACACAGACAGTTTTCCCCTCACAAAATCTGTACACAAATATGGACTATCTACTCTCGAAAGCCAATAATGGTAACACAGACAAACTAAGTAAAGTCTTCCCTTAGCTTATATGGTACATCCGGAAAGCTCGGAATGAAAAACTGTTCAATGGACGAGTTTTTTTCACCAGCAGATATATTAGACCTGGCATTAAGGGAATGCTATGCCTGGTTCTTGGCTAATGAAGAGAGTGAGACAGATGATAAAAATACAGAGAGGGCATCAGGAAACCCCACAGAGCAACCAACCTTTATCTGCCGGGTAGATGGATCATGGAAGCATAATGAAACTACAAGTGGTCTTGGATGGATTCTACAACTACAAGATGGGTCAGTTGATATTCATGGACTTCAAAGCTGCGACAAGCTAATGTCACCTCTTCATGCTGAACTGAAAAGCTTAGTATGGGAGTTGAAATGCTTGCTCCGACATCAACGGTTCTGCGATTACTTTGTCATTGACTCTCAAGAGTTAGTTAAAATGATCACTAATCCGGAAGACTGGCCAGCTTTTGCGACGGAACTTAAAATCTTATGGACGTCCTACCAAAACGGAAAAATATTCTATCAAAATAGATCCAGCAACTCTTATGTGGATTTCCTTGCAAGACATGTTCTAACAAGGAATCGTGTTTTCTCATATGTCAGCATGGCGGTACCACATTCGATCGACACCAGAAACTCGTCCTTCGCGGATTCGTACTAAGATTTATCTTTGTACCATAATGTGATAAAAAAAGAAAGTGGTGGATCTCTTTGTCTTTTAACATAATGTATAGTTGTTACTTTCTAATGACCTTTTTAGTGAACTATGTTTAGTTTAATCAGTCTTGTCAAGAATCTAAATGATTCAGAACAAAAAGGAAGAAGCAAAATTTTGATGTTGTAGAATCTTGATTTGGGTTTGGATACTTTTTTATTTTGATCAGGGATCCGAGCAAAAATAAATTGGCGCAGATCTTGGCAGCTTCTCCAAAATGTCAAATGAGATTGGCTAAACTGAGATCCATTGCATCGTCAAAGTTGTGGAGTTCTGTTGTGTTGAATCAAAAGAAACAGAGCAGCAGCAAACTAAGAAGCTTTGACGTGATGGCCCTCCAACCAGATAACAGTACAATCAAAAGTAGAGAGTCTTCTAAATTTAGACACCAAACCTTTCACTGACCGAATCATAGCTGAGTACATTTGGTAACTGTACATATATATCACTTTCCGCATACTGTCAATGAGTGGACTGGTCTATGTCAGCTTATATATTTCTAGTATGGATTATTGTCTTTTGTTTGAATAGGATTGGAGGATCTGGAATTGACCTTAGGAGCAAGTCAAGGGTAATACACTGTAGAAAATTTGTACAAGGAACTATGATGCTCATAGATATATTAAATTGTTTCTTGAAAATTTCAGACGCTTGAAAAGCCCGTGGAAGATCCTTCTGAGCTTCCCAAGTGGAACTATGATGGTTCGAGTAGCAGACAAGCACCTGGTGAAGACAGTGAAGTGATTCTATAGTTTCCCTAAGGCACTAAATATTTCTATGCTCGTATTCTTGTAACGTTATTGGTTTATTCAGTCCGCAAGCTATCATTGAGTTTTGATAGTATAAGCAAAAAAGTTCTTAATCACGCACTTAATATTTTGATCTTAAATTATCTGAAGGTTATCTGTGATACATACACACCAGTTGGTGAGCAATTCCAACAAACAAACATTCCAGAGCTGCTGCGGTTTTCAGTAACAAGAAGGTCAATGAAGAGATTCCATGGTTTGTCATTACTTTTGTAAGTGTAGAGTTACAAGATTTAGGTTTTATTTCATTAGAATTTAAATTGAAATGTAGATATGGTTTAATGTTTTGAGATGTATGATTTGAAGTAAATATGTAAGGTTTAGAATGTAGATATATCAAATAAAAGGTTGAGATTTAAGATTTGAAAATTAACTTTTGTAAGTGTTGGATAGTATAAAATTGGGATATTTTAAATTTAAGAATTGATGTTACAAAAATTAGATTATATTAATGACTTTGTATGTGGGGTTTATGTTTAAGATTAACCAGTAAACTATAAATTATAAAATTTAAAAGTTTTAAAATTACAAATGGTGTTTTAGTTATATTTTATGTAAATAATGATTTTAATGTTTAAAAATAAAGTTTGGAGTTAAAAGATAAATTTAGGGGTTAGGACATGTTTAGGGTATAGAACATGAAGTAAAAAAATATTATTTTGGTTAGATTTATTATAAGTGTTGGATTTTCTTTTTTATGATATTACTTTTGTGTTATCTTTGGATTTTATGGTTAACTAGATCCTTTTCCCGGGCTACGCCCGGGTTACTTTGTAGAAGAAAAAACATGTGTTGTGTCATTATCTATTTTTTTAAAAAAGTGTTGATTAAAAATGTTGGAACCCGAGATGCTAATATATATTAGCAGGTGCTTTATACATAAAATCTTTTAATAACTTCGAAAAATGTTCAGCCAAAGAACTCGTATTGAATAAAACAGGTAGTAAGTAATGTTTGACGCATAATGAAATAGAAGCGTTTGTGAAATAATGTTTAGAAGTAGATTATAGTTTTCATAATCTTGAAGAACAAATTTATAAAGTTTTAAACAACGGGAAAATATTAATGATGGAGAAGCAGGTGGTACTCTCAAGGTAGAGGATGTAGATGGGGTTGGAGTTTTTTGAACTGGGTCTGAAAATTAATTAAAATAAGTTAATGAGTAGTTATTATTAATAGAAATATGTTTATTTATTTCATAATATATGTATAGGTACCTGGAGGTGAGAAGATATCCATCATCACGGTAGCATTTTTGCTTCCAATTTTTTGTGTTATCAGCTAGAGCATTGTGGAGACAATTGTGACTTTTCAGCTAAATAACCCTTTAATTTTTTTTAGTTTTGCGTCTAAGTATAAATTTTTACTTACTTTCATCGGAAGGAAGCCGGTTGAAGATCTCTTTGTAGACTATGTTTTTCACTTTCCGAGGGTGCGAATCTTGGCCCTTAATGATTTTTAGTCCTGCTTTGCTTGTCACGCGTCAGAGAGCCACATATAGTTGACCATGGGCGAAGACCGGATTAGGTAGATTTTTCAAAAGATGCTCCTTAATCTCTCTCTAGTTCGGATTAGCCGTTATTGTGATAAACAAATCTGGATTCCCATAGTCTCTACAGATAGTCATTGCGTCATGGTGTTTCTCAACTAAGTAGTGAGGCCCACCGGTGAAACTTTGTGGCAATATTTACTTCTGACCAACAGCATCGGTGTGCCCCCTACAGACAACATCAAGGACATTACTGTAGAGCTCTGCTCGTAGGACATCTTGATTATTCCTCGCCCATCGTAACCGGTTTTCCTCAATTTTCGTGTAAACGCTGATAACATATTGATGGAGGAGACGACCGCCTTTAATTAATGTCAGCCCCTGATTAAGACGCGTCTGTATTTGAGAAGTGTAGAACTGACGTATCGTTAGGAATTGCCTTATCCTTGAAGTTCCTGTGTCAAGATGTAATGGGATCTCAGGTTGGAAACCATAATCCCCAAATGGAAACAGAAGAGGGTATTGGAGGTTCATGTATAGGGGGTGGTCATCACGTATCTGCTGTAAAGTGTCAGATTGGAATTGGACCACGATATCTCATTCTCCAATTGTTTCTGACATGTCCCCTACGATAAGGCCGGCGACTTCGCTTGTACTCGGAAGATCGTATTCTTTTTGTTTCCCTTTATCTGGGAGTAACCTAATATGAATATTTTTCCCAACGCTTTCGTAGTGGTCACGTGCTCGGCGGAAAACTTTCACCAAACAACTATTCTTGTCAATCATCTTGATGAGGCGCTCTAAGGTTGCCGCATTGAGATTGCCTTCAGTTGATGTTTGCCCCATCTCGTGTAATCGGTTCCTTACTTCGTTGTCCGTATCAAATATGTAAAGCTGGAGGTATTCGGGCATTTTTCCTCGTTGTGGTATAAGTGATCCGATTCTATGGTGGGTCTGACCTTGGATTCTTATAGTGTAAGGACCCGGCGCATGCATCACACTATAATCCATTTTCATTCCAATGGATGTGAAAGCCAGTATGGAATTATAGACTCGGATGGTATCTCGGAACCACCTTAGCTGAAGCAGTTCTTCTAACAGCGCTGGGGGTTGCCTGATTGGTGGAAATCTTTATTTGGCCATGGTTACAGCAGAGTGTGAATGTTGGTTCGCCTGTTTTAGCGTCTTTACTAGTGCTCTTTGAAATCCACATTAATGCGTCACATTTTGAGCATGCTACGATATGATTGTCTTCAACTGTAGATGTGGACCCTTTATCTGGAAAACATATGTCTATAATTGATAAGACCCAGTGTATTTGGGTCTTAATAGAGTATTAGGTCTTAAATTATTTACTATACTAATTAATAAGTAAATAATTTTGGATAATAATTGTTGTAAGAGTAATTAATTTAAAAACGTTTTTTAGTTTATAGTTTATTTAAATTTTGGTCTGAAAAAATTATTTGAATATGACGCCATATAATACATTTATTACGACACAATTAAAATTTAATTTGTCGTGGTTACATTTATTAGTGAGTGTAACAAATTAGTTGTTAGGAAATTAGTACCTTATTATAAATTACTTTGAATACAATTTCGAATCAATCAAATTGTGTAGTGACATTTAGTATTAACGTATATTATTGTTTAGTTTACTAATAGTTTCTAAACATTATAATTGTCTAAGAGCTATTAGTATTAGTTCCATTGTGTTTTCATATTAGCAAATGTACATATTTTAATGTCTTTAGACGGTTGTAAGTTGTACGTACCTTTTCTCCTCCCTCGGGTGTGACGCAAGCCAAGCGAGTTTCCTGGCGCGTTTAAGTCTATACAGTTACAAACTGTATATTAATATATTACGCGTATTAAATATAGATGGTATTTTTATCTATGATGCTAACCTTGAGCCAACGCTGAAGCTCGTTTTGATAGCAACTTTGCCATTCTCATGTTACGTGCATTTTTCGTTGACAATGAATAGATAAAATTCTTTAAATAAAATAGGTTACAAATGTTCGAGATGTATAGTGGGGTATGGTTACATACCGTAGTAATCGCATTTCTCGCAACCACCTATACGATAAAACTTGAGACTCAGCTTGTGTTATGCATAAGTAATGATATCAATAAGATAATGCAAACCATTAAACTTATAGTCATAGAACTTTGGCTTGAATGTTGGCGGATCATTAATCATAAGAGCTGTGAATAGATATAACTTTATTACCATTAAAGGATCAATTTAAAACTCAGTTGGATAAGTCTGAGGCTAAGAACACACCTTTTGGTTTGTTACGCGACCCAGGTGGGCGGCCTCGTTTTCTCTTATGCGTGTGTCCGCTTGAAATTTGGGAATGGGAAAATGTTCAAATTGTTCTTTTTCCAATCTTTGGGAAAAGTGTAATAGTAAACTTCATGTTTTTCCTTACATATATCTTTTCTACTATTGCATTCTGAGAAAATATTTAACATCTTCGTTATTGAAAATGTAGATGTTTATTGTTTTAATGTTTATGTGTATATTATAAATTTGTTCTTATTTTAATTTGTTAACAACTAAATATGTATTCAGTTTGAAGTTATTTTTAAAACAAACAAATTTATAATGCTTATACATACATAAAACATACGTAATTAAACTATTACAATAAAGTATATATAACATAATTAAATTTCAACTATTTTATAAAGTACAAATTAAATTAATCACATATGCATTCTAACATATATTTAAACATTTTAAAATTATTTATGTTTACTTTGGGAAAATTTTGAAATTAAATGCATATAATAAATATTTTTAGATTTAACATAATAGCTAAATTATAATAGTAACATATATTTCAGTTTATTTTTGTTTGAAATTAAAAAATTATAATCATTACTTGCATATTAACAAATTAAGGGAGTATATGATAGACCAAATAGAATTGAAGCACAGCTACGCGCAGATTTTATATTTTTATAGTTTATTTATTTAAAAATGTTTTGTACTATTATGTTCATTGACTTGTCTGAATTTATATTTAAGTAATAAACTCTATCTAATTTTTTTTCTATTAAAATACATGAAAATACATCAATTAAATATTGTTAAGTTTTTTTTTGAGTCTTAAATTGTTTTATTATCCAATCTCTTATCTAAATTACTTTTTATTGAATTTTAATACACTTAATTTTAAAACTGTAGACATTCTAATATCCAAATTAGTTATAAGTTGGAATGAAAATTATAGAAATCGTCAAAATGGATCACAGATAAAATCTTAAATTTTCAATTTTTATTTTTAGGATTAAAGTATGTAAACTGAGGATAATATTTAAAATTACAATATTAGTTGTACGTTACATTTAAATTTGAAGTACAATGAAGTACAAAAGTCCTTCTGTTTGGTTTTTTTTTTTGGTAAATTAATATGTACGTTAAGTATTAATAATATAATTC